AATGCTTGACCCACCCCGGTCCCAGATACGGGGGACGCACAAGCCCTGCAGGGAGGCACAAAGCCCTCACAGGACACCTGGCCAGTGGGCATCACCCCACCAAGGGCTGAAACCTCCAGGGCCTCTTCTGCTGCTCACAGCAGCTCCTGGGTCCTTCACGCTCCTCCTTACGCAGCCGCCAGGKTCCAAGTGTGGAACAGGAAACCATTCCAGAAACATCACACATCCCTTCTGTGCCTTTTCCCTGTGACTCCTGTTAATTCAAGGAAGCTGGGAAGATTTGAGCACATAATTAAAATAAAGTCATGTCAACTGGAGCTAAGAACCAGTGAAATACCAAGTCTGATGCAGCTGCCAGGGCTGGAGTTGTTCGCCCTGACATTTCTTCTGTCAGGCAACGCCTCCGAGCTGGCTTTAAACCTGCACAGTGTCAGTTTTAAGTCTACTCATATAGTGGCAGAAAAATAATGTGACAGCCCTAAGGAAAGCATCGAAAGCCACGGAAGCCAGCAAGATTAATTCATATGCGGTGTGACCTTTTCCTGCACAAGGTACAAAATCTCTCCTTAACAAGCAGATTTTAAAGAGTGCTGGGGGTTAGAGGTGGGGGACAAGAGAAGCAGGGAGCCCCTGTCACATCCCTGTCCTTTCCCTGCTAAGAAAAACAAAAAGAAAAGCAAGCCCCAAATCCCTCACCCAGTGAAAAAAGGAAACCTTGCCAGAGCAGCAGGCTCATACGGTCACTGCTACTGAAGTAATGACTTTTAGGATGAAGAGAAGACTTTGCAGAGAAAAAAACATTTTTTTTTATTAGGAAGAGCTTGATTATAGAAAAAAAAATCTGCATAAAAAGAAGCAGAGCAATAAAAGTTGATCCAATTCACTACTATATCAATATTAACATAYTAATCTCCAAAAGCTTATTATATTTCAGATGCTACACAGACTAAAGATTTTAGATAGAAATAGGAAGCTCAAGTAGTATATATTAAAAAAAAGCTTCAAATGTCTTTTCCTTAAACAAAAAACAAAAACAAAACAAAAAACCAAACAAACAAAACCCCCAAACTTGTAATTTATCAGTGATAATATTATCTTCAAAAAAATATTATCTTCAAAAAAATATTATCTTCAAAAAAAATAAAAGGAAATAAAAATGAACTAAGCCCCAACGCTTGCGTCCCTGCCTTTGGGAACAATTCTTTTTTAACGTGCTTTGGCAGAGCGCTGCTGTAGCGGTGGGGACTCCTTTCCACGCTCCAGCACAAGGAGTGAGCACTCAGCAARGGAGCCCTCTGAGCAGGGCTCGCTCAGCACCAAGCCTGACAGCAGCTGAGAAGTCCCTGCAACTTGGTGGCCTCTGCAAGAAGATCGGGAATTTAAGAGCACCTCCCATGGGAAGCAAACCAGTTGCAGGAAAAGCAGAGATCACTCTTGCGTGCTGCTTATGAATCACACCCTGCTGGACTCCCATGCTCTCCTCAGTTTTCGTAACATGATGAAGGGATTTTTCTTTTAATTACATAGAACAGTTGTCGCATCTATCCRACCTGCTTATCCTATGGACTAAATTAAATATTTCAGAAGCCTTGATATGAGACTCCTCTCAAGCATGGAAAGGAACAGAAAGCAATGGAAAGCACCAGCAGTTCTCCACCAGGATCCTTCTCCATATTSCCATCTTTCCACACTTTGATGGGAACCGACCTAACGATCCCACACAGGGACTCCTTGGGAACCCCTGCAACTGCACCGGCCCTCGCACCGCGCTGCAAACCAGCAGCCCTTGAAGCACGGGGCAGTAAGGAGAGCAGCGTGTGCTTTGCAGAGCTCCTTACAGAGTAAAGAAATAAATAAAAGACATCTCTAAATCAAAATTTAAAAGGACATCTGAAGCGTGGACATCCTTCATTATGGGAGCGAACCTTCCACTGTGAGGCCATTATCCATTGGAAAGGCTCCACCTGTGTATAATTATTTCTGATAAATGATACTAAGCTTCATTAAAGAGGTAGTGAGGACTCAGAGATAGCTCAAAGTGTAAATGAATCTCTCCATTGTATTCCACTTAAAACCATGCCAGTAGGAAGCCATAAAGATTTTTTTTTTTTTAAAAAAAAAAACCAAAGGTAGCATTTGCAAATGCTCTGCAAGCTGTCCAGCCCAACACCCAGCACGTGAGTGTAGCTTCATGGGCACACAGCAAGTCTGCAGGAAGGACACCATTTAATTTCCATCCCTCTTTTTTGCCCCTGTAATCACCTGCTCACTCAGCCCCAAGCCCTGTTAGCTCCTGCTGCACCGCAGGCACCATTCATGTGTGCATATATATATATATAGACACACATATATATGCATATATGTACATACACAGATGTAAAAGACTTTTTTTTAAAAAAACTTCTTATTACTCAGTAAACTGCCACAATCCCTAAGTGTATTACTGTGCATATATATATATATATATAGACACACATATATATGCATATATGTACATACACAGATGTAAAAGACTTTTTTTTAAAAAAAACTTCTTATTACTCAGTAAACTGCCACAATCCCAAAGTGTATTACTGAAATCCTGCACAAATAAAGAGAATATACACACAACTCTGCCTGTCTGTAAGCAGATCAGCAGCCCCTCAGAACCACCCTGTGCCTTTTGTCAGCACAACTGACACCAAACACGGCAACAGAGCAGAGCACTTTCCTGGTCTGCACCCCTATTTGCAGCAGTCACCTCCGGGCTCAAGAACCTCAGCGACTCCAGCAGCTTCCTTGCTGGGAGGCATGTGCCCTGACTACCTGCCAGTCACCAACTGCAAGCGAAGGCAGCCCAAGGGCTGCTCTCTCTGTAGAGCACCTTCCAACATGAGCAGAGCTGCAGGTAGGAGGAAAATGAAGCTACAAGTTGCACATTTGCGCTCAGGCTGCTGCAATACAAACTTATTATATGCAGCATGTGTTCATATCAAGACATAGAGTAAATTAAAGTATAACTGTTTCTCATGACATGTTTGCTAAATTTCAACAGCTTGGTTTGCCTCTAGTGAGGATTTTAGCCTGGCAGAGTTCAATAAAGAGTCATGAAAGATGAGGGGGTCACCACATGAAGCTTAGTTTCATGCAAGTCATCTAGCAGCAGTCTAGACAAGTGTGTATTGCACTCACTGCTATCCAGAATTGCAGTAATTTTAAACATAAGATTTTAAAAGCAGAAATTAAAAGATATTGATGCTTATCTCAGAACACACACACACACATATAGACACACATATATTCATGTACGTAAATTTATAATATGAGAATTTCATAAAATTAAAAAAAAATGCTCCAAAATAGAAACTAAACTGTATACTGAGCTCAAAGARAAGTAGAACTGGTTAGAAACTCCTTGGACCTCCTTTAATTTGCTCTTCAGTTAAAACCACTAGTTTCTATTTTCTGAATAACTTCCACTTATCCCTCCTTCCCGCCCCCAGCTACTTCCAAGAGGGGYGAGTTCGACAGAAGCCTGAGGAGGAAGGAGCCTCCGACCTCCATGGCTGGCGCAGGAGCTGGGCACTTACATTCCTCTTTGCTGGGTGAAGTTACATTCAGTTCTGTCAAAAGCTGCTGGCTGGGGTTGGCGGCCTGCGCGGCTAGAGAGGTATTGCTGTTGTCACTGTTCGTTTCTCCAGAGAACAAGTCTGTCTGGCTGCTGCTTGTGCTGGGGGTAGAGTCGTCCTCTGGCTGCTTCTTCTGGAAATCTATCAAAGACAAGATTCCACGTATCATGCCACGTGCTCAGTCACACCACACGACARGAAACAGAAACACACAACCAAAATCCCCCCAGCGTGGGCCCAGTCATCCCTATAACCTCATYCAGCACAAAGCCAGAGTAGCCTTCATCTTCCTCACTTCGGATTTGAAGCATCTGAAAACTTACTGGYTGTTGAACAGCAACAACTGATCTCAATCTTGCCCCCACAGTTATAACTGAAGGGCCTCCCAGCTTACTGCTGTGTATATCAGCACATAGCATGTGGTACCAGTTTAGAAACTGCGTGTTAAGATGCTAAGTTCCAATCAAAGCCGCCTCCTGAACGAAAAGATCAATCATCTCTACAATATTTCCTTTAATATATAACCAACCTGCAGTTTGACATTTCTGATGTCCCTAGATGTTCAGCCAAAGACCCAAGCATCAGCTGGAGATGTGCATTTAATACATGGTTTAATAAAATGATTTGWACTTAAAACTGTGGCTTTTAGCACCTTCAAAGCTTGTTTAAAACTCTACATAGTCCACGGGATTTGCGAAGCAGAGCCACTGCAGCGCGGCTGCTYCTGGTCTAACTGCCCAGAAAGTTCTTCCAAAGCAAAATTCTTTACTTACAGTTTTTCATTAAAAATAACAACAAAAAGAAAGTAGAAACTTTATGTGTTTGCAAAATGTAATTTTTAACCTTCCATTTTTTTCACTACCATTTTGCACCCCCACTGTCTGATGCTTTTTTCCCTCCGCATTCCCACTGAACTGGGATATTTAAACAATCCTATCCTTTTGCAGGAAAAAGGCAGGCACAAGGTGGAGTTGTCAGTGTATTAGAGACGAGAGCATCTCCACCCTTGAGAAGCAAAGCAAAATAATATTTGTACTCCGAATTATGCACCATAAGCAATCCATAAAATCCATTCAAAATACAGTGTAAAGTTACAGAGAAGTAATAGATACCACGACGCGTATTAAAATCCAGCAAGTTAACCTTTTTCTCAGATGGGGTGTTTTTTCCTAGATTGATAAGAATATTTTACTCAGGCTGCAGGAGCTGCTAAAGTGCCATCCACAAAAAGATGGACTTACAAACAAATTTTAAATATATTTAAGAAAGTCGATACGACAGAAGTCCCGACAGTCCTTAAAATGACAGGACAGCAAATGCTAGTGCTACACTTAAGTCTTCTAAGGCTATTTGCCTGCCCTGCACATGGACCAAGTTTTTTTTTTTCTCTTAAAAGCTATTCATTTTAACTCTAGTGATAAATTTCCCCCCTCAAACGTGAGCACGGAAGACTGGCATCACACAGCAATGGCACTGCCACAGAAAGCTCTCTAATGGAACAGTGCAGAGCTGCCGCGCAGCAGCAAAACCCTCTGTTGCAGTTAAACGCCGTTAGCCTCCATGTCTCCAGGCTGCCACGGATTCAGAACTGCTTTCTTCTCCGTTGCTAAATCAATTAACTTCCCCCAAAGTCCTGAACTGCTCCCTTATGGGGAACCCGAGAACATCTGCTGTCCCCTCCCCAACATTTCTCCACTGCAGACAAGGGGCGCTAAATAAAATGCTGAACCCGCTCCTCTCCACAGTGTGGAATGGCTGTCTGGATTCCTCCCCAAAACTCTGCTCCCCAGAGCCACCCAGAAGCCTCTTTAGGAACTTGCACATTTATTACACTCCCCTTCTCTGGCATATCAGTTTGTTTTACATTTCTGCATGTATTTCTACATGTTCCASCTTCCAAGAAGTTGATTCCATTTAAAACAGAACTACGTATCTACCAGCCCAACATGATGCTTCACCTCTTGTTGGCCCTGGTGACTATATGGCAATGCCTCAGCCTGGAAAACTGCAGATGGACATGGAAAGGAGAGTCCCACACTTCTGGTAACATGGCGGTATTTGACTAATCCACTGCATTGCCATAGGYGAATGGTCTCCGTATGTGCAATATTAAATAAAGAGAACCCCTAAATTATGCTGCTTTGAGGGTCTTTTGCTTCTTGGGGGAGGGAAAAGAAAAAGGGWTGGGGAAGGATGAGTAAGCGGTACWGAAATTTAGAAGAGAGCACATTTTAAAGGACTCCACCTTCTAAAAATACCTGCAYGACTCAGGTGCAGTGCGAAACCCGTCGCCAGCCCCAAATCCATCTTTMAAATGTAAAACAACATCCAAAAAGGCAGAGTTTGGCACTGAGACTGCACAGCGTAAGGAAAGAGCCCTCATCTCTGAAAACCGATAGACATCAGCACTGGGCCGGCGACAAGGCCGAGCCTGGCTAGTCCAGCCGCCCGCCCGCAGCGGCGCGGGACGCAGGGCAGAGCAAGCGCGAGGGCGAGCGCGGCGCTGCTGCCTCTGCAACGGGACTTGCACCATCAACCCAACTCAGCCAACTTTATAACTTGTAGCCCAGTACTTTACGGATGCAAACACACGCAGTAAGGACACCCCSTTTCCCCCCCCCATTATGTGCTACCTGCATGCGAGTGGCCTGCACTTGGCTTCCCCTAAYTGACCCTTAATTGATTCCAATTAACACGGATGCCTTGCAGATGRCCTTGCTCTCCCTCAAGCACAAGAGAAGGGGGCAGCAACCACAGGAGCGTGGTGCCTAAAGCCACCCCACTCAGCCTAAGCTGCCTCACAGGTAACACACACCACGAAACCGCACGATGCAGGCAAGATTTTGCTAATTTTGTAAGGGGATATTTTATCCTGATTAAAATCAGAATCTAGTTTTATGCACAGAGTAATGGCATCCATTAATAGCCTCAAACAAAATAAATTAATCAAGGAAATAGAGATGACAAGAAATTCATAAATTCCTYTTTTTAAAAAAAAGTTAAGGATAGACATCTGCAAATGCCTATTTGTTTGTTGTTCTATTGATACTGTGGCTGTCACTGAATCACAAAATCAGTGCCATTTGCTTCAAGAACCGCCCCCAAAATCCACCAAATCAGCCAACATGCTCTTCTAGTTAATGGAGGGTATTTTAACGTTTTGCAGAAAAGCCTCAAATGCTCCCCAGCTTTAATGAAAAAGGATGACAGTCCTTCTCCTGCTGTCGAAAGTATGTTTGTCTGCTCAACAGTGTCCCCTTTCTGCCACCCTCTTCTGGTCATTTTCCAAGTGTAAGATACCATGTTCCAAGGGGGAGTCAACATCAAATGAAGACATGAAAACTACTGCTTCTTGTGTCGGGAAGTAACAGAAGAGATCTAATAGTAAACCACTTATAATGCACCCAGTAACATTTTACTGCAGCGCTGCTGGCATCGAGCATCAACACTGTTGGTTTTCTAGTTCTAAAACCCTTTTGCCTCATCATGTCCCAGGGCTGTGCCCGGCATCTCAGCTGGTTAAGCAGCGACAGAAACATCTCACGTGCTGGATATTAAAAATGAGAAGAGCTTCTTGTTGTCATCTCACTGCGGCTCTATTTGCAAACAATACAACATATAAATATGATATATTTTCTATAAACACTGAATTCACGTAGCTTAAACAAGAAGCAAGAAGCTGTGACAAGGTTGCATGTTTGTAGAGTTCAGAAGTCAGTATTTTTTGTTTATACGATAATCTTTCGTCCTTCTGAGCTATAAAATAATACTGCTAGTGGACGCCAATTGCCTTTACAGCTTCTTACTCCAACCCTTAAAAATCAGGATCATCCCAAGCTTGGAAACAGTCTCTTATACAGAGGACTAACAACTCCTGCCCAACATCTGTACTGAGCCAGTCACCAAGCTCCCAAAATATCTTCAGTCCCTCTGTTACACCAAGACTAAAAGGAAGAAAAAACAAAAAAAAAAACCCCAAACCCACCCATTTCACCACCTACGGGACTCCTGATTCTGTAACGAGTGAGTCCCAATTCTGTATTTATTCTAATAAAGCCCTCAGCTTTGTATTAATTGCAAGGGGTCTAGAGCAGGAAACATGGAAAAACCCTTAGGCATCCAGTAAATGATTTTTGTGATGAGAGTCAGTGCAAATTTACAGTGAAAAAGACAGGTAGGTCAAAACATTAAAGGATTTTATATTAAGCCATTTTTTTTCTCCCTTGTTTGCACTCATGCTTTGCTGCAATAATGACATTTATGAGASTCTTAAGGGAGCCTAAATTTAAGCCATGCCTTTTGCTTGTTTTAAGAGTCAAGGTTACATATGTTTCCCATTCTCTGATCCRTAACAGATGTTATCACCAATAAGCAATGGGTGCATTCAAATAAATGATGTGCCAGAGCAAACATCAGCATACTAGAACAGACAATTACAGAGTCTTTAAGTACTTATTTTGGTTGGTATGTGATATTGCTCCATTTCTTTATTCTTCTGTCCCACGGCTCCCATACCTTGACAGTGTAAACTAGCACAAAGTTATTTGCAGGGTGTTTGATTCTTACACAGCACTGAACGTGCAGCCTGCACATCTTTTCTTTACAAGAGCATCTCCTCCTTTCACAGAGCATAAATTAACGTGTTAGTAGCAGTACAGCAAATACTGCACCACAGCAATGCACACAAAGGACTTGCAGCTTATTCTTGTCTGATAAGAAGGTAGCTTCTGCCTAAAGGAAACTGCACTTTGAAAGTACTTGGTGGAAAGTAACATGAATATTGCGACACAAAGTGCTACAGGGAAGTGTTTGAGTTACTGCATCCTCTTCTGCTTCAGGTTTTCTTCCTGGAAAACACGCTTCACACATGGCCAATATTACCATAAGTTTTACAGAATCACAATCTTTTAAAGGTTTTACAACTGGTCACTGGTTTTCTCTGGTTCACAGCCTACTGAAGACATTTCAAGGGCCACTCGTACGTCACTACATTTTGCAAAATGAAGGAAGCCAAACTGTAGAAAAAACTTTCTTTTAGTAGCTGAATGCGATCCATAGCTCCAGTAGGGGAACACCAATAAAATGCTACTTGGGAGCARAAGGTAATTAAGAATAAATTGCTACATACAGATAAAAAGATG